ACACACACACACACACACACACACACACACACACACACACACACACACACACACAAGAAAATAACATAAGAGTAATAAGAGTAATAACATAGCTAGTATTTTTGAAAAACAAGTCTTTGTCTGTGCTCATGTAGAACATGCATAAAGTGAAATTATTAATAACACACAGCTGCAGAAAGACAAATCACTTTAATCCTAACTGCAAAAAGTAATTTGCAGTTAGGATTAAACTTTAATAATTGTGAACAATTCATACAATACTCATACAATATTGTAAACACTTATATATTACAGAAGCAAACATTTTTTCATTCAACACCTGAGCTGTTTTTAAATCACTTCAAGCACAGGCTCACATGGCTTAGGGCCTAATTACAGATTCTTCTCTCTAGCATGCTCTGCATACAAATGCACATAACTAGGCAAAGCCTGATGGGGTGCACAAACAAAGACTGCCACATGGGAACATACAGGGGAAAAACTAAGGTATTATCTTGACGTTGGGGTAAAAGATATGGCATGCTGGTGCGACACAAAGACAAGATCTCAAAGTACAGCAAGGTGGCTGTTTGGGTGGCTATACAGAGTGTCACAAAAATTATTATAATTATAGACCAATCTGCATTGATATAAAGTTTCCATCATGTCAAAGCAACCACTGCTCTTACAAGGAGCAACTGAACTTGAAAAAGACTGTAGCAGGGCTGAAACTATTAAAAAAACAAACCAATAAACAAAAAAAACAAAAACAAAACAGTCCCTTGGCCTGCAGGCATCCTACACCTTCATCAGTCTATAGTAACAAACATTATGAATATGTGAACCTTAGATTATGAAATAAAAGCATATTAACTATGCAGTAGCTACCTGTAGGAGAGCTGTTTTAGAAACACAACTAAAACAGGTCTTTGTTTGTTGGATATTTTTACTTTTAAATTCTTTGCTTTGTTTAAAGAATATAAAATGTCATTTTGAACAGTCACACCATGTTTGATAAACAATATAAAGCCCTGGAAACATAACAAATTAACACTTGTTTAACACTTCATTCGCACCAATATTAGTTGCAACTTTAGTATAACTAATAACCACCACGATGCTAGACAGTCTACAAATAAATAATACCATCAAGGAAACATTTAAATGAGTATGGTTTTGTAGCTTAATGTGGTAACTGTTTCTGCATGCATAAATTAAGGATTAAGCAAGATTACATTCTTCTATGATGCTCATAAAATGTGCTCACTCCACCTGCATTAACAACAAAGGTAGCTGTGTTACCATTTCAGCAGGTGCGTATGTTTCATTTAGGTGTAATCAGATGGGCAGAAGATTGACAAAAAAAAACAACAAAAACCCCGTGTGACCATGGACAAATAAATATAGCTTTGCAGCAGGTGTGACCTTGGACCTGTTATTTCCTATGGGGGTGAACAGAACAGCTAGGAATGAATGGTATCATTACCCACACACATACAGAAGCCCCACTGCAAGTACACATGGGTATACAAGCAGACAGAAGTAAACAAATACAAACAGAAAAATATATCCTGCCAAACAAGACCCCAAGAAAATACATGCAAAGACACACTCAATCATGAGCTGTTGGAATTTGGAACAAATCAGGCAAGGAGAAAAGTTGAAAAGAGGACAACCCATTGTCTTTGTATTGTGAATTTCTTCAGTCCAACAGAAAGGCCTTAACAGAGATTTTTGACTTTGTTGGAGGGAAAAAAGTCAAATAAAAACAAAAGGGAACACTCTTTCAAACATAAAAAGTTCTCAAAGGTGCTGTGGGTGAGGAAATGGTGCTTTAAAGGAATCTGCTGCCAAGATGAGCTGCTGGACATTTCATGGAGATATATTACTCTAGATGATTAGCATTTTGCAACATGTGACACACAAACAAGAACAATTTAATTAAAGGATACTCAGAAGAAGGATGATGTGAGACTCTGCCACAAACTGTGCCTGACTGCTGCCATGAATATAACTCTGGGGGGGAAGAGAAAGAGAAGAAAACAATGTCAGTTAAGAATTTTCTTTTCAGCTAGTAATTCAGTCACTAACAAACTCAATAAAACTTCTATAATAAACAAAAGGACACGGTGGGATTGTGGTTCTGGAATTATTTTGTATTACCACACAGTAATGCTACCAGTTCTTTGAAGGGCTAAACTGAATCATCAGATAAAACCACATTCATAGTTTAGCCTGTTTAAAACTAACTTCAGTTGTGCTCCCAGACAGCAGTTGTATACTCTTTCTGCAGTGTCCATGGAGCGTTTCTACCAGCTGGCAGTGTATTATAAATGCACTAGACAAATAAGCAAATAAACCTTAAAAATAATTAAGTAAAATCTTCCCCAATGTGACGTTCTGAGGGTGGCATAAAATGCATCATAGACAGGACGAACAGAATTTTAAGAGACCCGTCACTAGTGTTTTAATAAATGAATAGAAAGTGGGGATCTGAGTGGAGAAGTAATTGTATTTAATTGTATAAATTGTGTTGCTTGAGTATGTTTCTAGATCAGAATTCATTAATGTGTTTGTTCATATGACTCAAGCCTGAGGAATTATCCATGTGGTGTGTAGGTGTATAGAAAGGGTACATTTTTCATGCAGTGGGCAGAGAGGTCAACCTAAACCTACATTACCGATCACACACACATACACATATGATTGCTCTGAATGAGAATTGCTATGTTTTATGCAGTCTGCCAAAGCTAAACTTCCCACTTCAGTACAATCTTCTCTAAATGTTGAATTAATTGTACTTTAAAATCTTTCAGAATGAATCAAATACAAAACAATAAAAAAACAAAATGGAAATAGTACAGGGTCATCAAATCTAACCGTTCCAGAAACAAAAATTATAATTATCCTGATTTCTGTGCATTTCAGACACTTTATGATCAGAATCATTGACATCTAATAAACTGATCTTTTTTCCACTATAACTTATAGCCATCTAAACCTGATGATATGCTTGGATCAATGTCCCCGCTGAAGCTCATACTTCATTGAGATTCGAAGCAAAATGCTGGGATTCCAGCTCCTGTGCTAAGATGTCAGAGGTCTACTTTGACTAACATCTGTCTGTTAGAGAAAAAGAAGCAGACAAAATGAGGGTCTGAGGAAAGGAAACAAACAGAAGAAGGGAGAAAGTCTTTCAGAGTGTTTAACATTGTTGAATCCCTGCAGATTATCAGTGTCTAGGCAGATCAAGGGTCTGCTTTTCCACTTGACTGGTGTAGTGTTCATTCCTTTTCTATCAGACAAGAATAAGTATGGAAAGATGAATAGAAGATGACAAAAGAGGTGGAGTAGAGGGTGGACAGCTTTTTCTTGCTTCAGTGGAGAGAAGTGAAGAATTTTTGCACTTGAAAGCAGATAAAAACAATGAGGCCTCAGTGCTGAAACAGATCCTTTTGTTTTCGGTATAAACCTGTTATTCTCTATTAGCTAGGGTTTTTTAAATTATTTTCGGCATTCTTTTCTTGCTGACTAGAAAACAAAGCTCATGTACTAGAACAATGGGAAACTGTTTGGAAATTTTCCTTACATTCCTAATCAGTACATTTGAAACTGGAAGGGGAATTTTGGTTCAGCAGTGGTAGCACTTTGGATAACTTCGGACTGCCTGTCTACTTGCAGTGAACGGCTCTGGGGCAGTGGCAAAAATATGTGGTGCATCTGGTCTGTAGTCTCCTCTTCCTAGTGCTGTTATTAGTCCATCCATCAGTGGCAGAGAAGAGAGAAGTTGTAACATACAAAGAGCTGAAGTGAAGCTGAGTGTTAAAAACAACGAAAAGTCTCCACCGCAGCTGCTGTCTGTACTTCTTTGAGGTTTTTGCCCCTCCTCAGACATCTCCACATAGACAACAGAACAGCAGATAGTGGCTTGCACCTTCACCATTCCCTAACTTCCCTGTTTTGTGTCAATAGAAAAAGCAATTTGCATTTGCTGGTGATGATACTAACCTAATACTCATATAACAAAATGAAAAATAAAACGACAACTATAGAATACACCATTTGTGAAATACTGTAAACTCTTAATATCATGTTTACCTATTAGATGGGCACTGTGCCAGATATATTGACACTTACACTGTGATAAACCCATTTCAGATGACGGGGGTACTTTAAATCCATGATTTGCCCCCTTTAAAAGGTTAAAGCTTTTGCTTGCTAAGTTGATAATTGACCCATCACATGAGTTTCAACTGATAACCTCTGTAAGACATAGTTCAGACCAGGATATGCAAAACAAACAATCTCTAGCTGCCTTTTGTCCTTACACCTACATAAGCTTTTTGAATGAACTTCTGGTGTATTTTTCAGTTAACTGTAGAGCTCTTCATTTTAATACCCACTAAGAAGCCCACTCACATTTTCAGGAGACTATTAGTTAAGCTCGTTAAGTACACACAACAGTATGAAGGGGTTAAAAAAAAAAACTGTCACAATGACAAAACAAATTAAACAAGTCCTAGAAAGTTTGGGAAACCACACACTGAAAGTAATAGGTGCGTCAGTAACCAATGGGGATTTTTCTTTCATTACTGGAACTTAAAAAAAACCCTCCAAACAACAAAAAAAACCACATCCATACCATTGTTCCACTTGCTACATGTTACCCTTAAGCACAAAACAAGTCAATGCTTGGCGGATAAAACATTCTTCAATCCATGGTTGGGCACTTCCAATTAACCTGATGTATTAAAATGTAGCTGTTTAATTCATTAATGTGCGGAGCAGAACATTGTGTGCATGTTTCAGTGTACGTAGCTAAACAGGTGTCCACAAAACACGTAAGTAAATGTTTGTAAATTAAACTGCTTAGAGAGAACAGCCTTTTGAGACATTTTGTGTGGCTTTTGTGTGAGTGTGCGTTAATCAGAAGGATTTACCTCAAAGTGATTTGGGGTATAAAAGCAGCAACCTTTAGTCTTCATGTTGCTGAGATAATAAAGACATTTAAATGAGCTAATGCAGAAGTCACATCTTGTAACTTTTTCTCTTACTTAAAAAACAAAAAACAAACAAAAGCAACCCCTCCAAAAACTAAATCCCATTCTCTGATCTATATAATCTATATAATAGATCAATGTACTTGGTGCCATTAACTAAATTTCTCTTATATTGTAAGGTTTGCAATATTATATGGTTATATTTCAAGCAAAATCCCACAAAAAGGTCAAAACATAATATTAGTCATTTGCTCAGTTCTGCTTCAGGTCTATCTGTTGCTGCTCAGTGCAATACATAGAAACCCTCACCCTGACATACTCCATAATCTGTGGAGTATGCCTAATATACAGAAACCCTTGTTAACATTTTTTGTTTTAAATATTTCTTGTTTTTACTTTTGTTTCATTTTTTTAAATACACAAGAAAAAAACTATTATATGATCGCTGGTGCGATTCTGGTGCACAGCATGCTGACACATACATTTTCTCCTTTTTAAATAGGCTCACAATGGCTTGCCTGCATAAATTTAGACAGGTTCATGCTGGGGAGCGTCTGGTACAACTGCAGTCTACTACTGCTCCAATTAATCTGATGGATTAGTTTCTTGCTTTTTGGAGGGTTTTTTGGGTTCTTTTTTAAGACTGCCATGTCTGCAAATTAGGTTAAAACATTGTCTTGTATAAACAAATGATTTAAGTTAGATAGAGTGGTAAATAAAAGTTGGACATGCGGCCCCACTCTGTATAGACAAGTTACATAAAAAATAACATATTCAATCGATCAATAGCTTGGGTATACATGTGATAACATTCTTCTTCAACAAGAATGAAGATGTGCACAGCAGTATATGCTGACTATGTTCATGGACCCATTTGAAAACACGGATATTAAAATCATCATTATACAAGAATAACCATCTGTAACATTATGACAGAAATTATGTATTTGCACTCATGTAAGTATAAAATATTGATTCACATTTAATATACATTTGTTTAGCCCAGCTTCTGAAATAACAGGTTATATATGAATCAGCCTTCAATTACAGACAGGCTTTCATTTCCAAATAACAGCTCTGGTGAATCCTCAAATTAAATTCTACATGAGTTTGAGAATGGCTGAGTGCATACAGTACATACACAACGTTTGGCAAACATTTAAATGCACAAACTCCAGAACTGCTGTAAATTTTCTGGGGGGGTTTTTGAGTTGGGAAAATCTTTCTTAACCACATGCACAGGAATAATCAAAAGCAGTAATGCCACACACTAATTGTGTTAAAGTTTTGCAAAATAAAACACACAAAAAATAAATTACATAACTAAAACATGTCTCCAACTTCACACTTTGTAACCATTTCAAATGAACACCTCTATTACTTTAGTAAACAGAACGCCCTCAAGTTAAGGAAACAGTGGTATAGGAACAGCATTATTTATTTGTCGTGACCATGCCCGGCTATTGTCAGAGACCCAGCTTTGGGCTTCAGTTTATTTATTCATTTATCTTTTAATGAATGTATTTACTTTCAGGTAATGGCACAGACACAGACTAAAATCAGGTATACATATACATATACATATATGTATATATACACATATATGTTCCCACCAATTGAGCATTGCGTGGCACATCTGACATACTGTTTTACTTTTGTCCATGACGCACTTACCATCAGGGTCATGCTTCACATGAAAACCAAGACAGTTTCAAACGCCAGATCTGAATGAGGGTGGGGGAGGTTCAATTTGCCATGTTGCAACGAGCTTAGCTTCTGTCTTGCTAGCTTGCGCTGCGCTCAGTGGATCTGCACTCGACAGTGCAGCCTAGGCGGAGTAGTCGAACGCAGATCCACTGAGCGCTCAACACAGACAGCATCGTCAGAAGAAAAGTTGATAAAATAAATTTAAAAAAAATGTGTATTGTTCGATACATATGCGTACCGAACCGAAAGCACTGTATCGAACGGTTCAATATCGATACGAGTATTGTTGCACCAAAAAAAAAATAAAAT